GTTACCTTTTTCGAGGTCCCAAAGAGATTCATATTGTCTTTACCCGTATTAAACGATGTTTTTGACAAGATCTACCTTACTAAGTGCAGCATATTACACTTTGCATGGCGTTTAGTGGTCTGTTAATTCTTTTCTTTTGGCGCACATGAAAGAGAGAGACACTATGAAGTCAATTTGTTGTGTAAGTAGATATTTGGCTCTTTTAATATCCTCATTTTCTTGAATAATAACTCAGGGTTGACTGCTTCAGTTCTAAAGGTTTGACAAAAATACTTACGGTTGTGTTCCCTAATCGTTGTTGGCTTCCAACTTGGTAATATAACTGGTAGGCAGTAATGGAGCTATAATTAAACGCTGGTTTATTCCAGGAAACGTTAGCAACAAAGCTACCTCGTTCTGGCGAAGGGTAGAAGTTACAAGCTTTTAACTGGACCTTCGTTTCGTTTCGAGGCACAGCTGCGTAGAGAAAATAATGGAAATTACACTAGTGTTAGTAGTAGTAGTAGTAGTAGTCGTAGTCGTAGTCGTAGTAGTAGTCGTAGTGGTAGTGGTAGTGGTAGTGGTAGTGGTAGTGGTAGTGGTAGTGGTAGTGGTAGTGGTAGTGGTAGTGGTAGTGGTAGTGGTAGTGGTAGTGGTAGTGGTAGTGGTAGTGGTAGTGGTAGTGGTAGTGACAGTAGTAGTTGCCCCCGCAGGGATTTCGTCCAGAAGGCGAAATCCCGAGGAGGCGAGATATGTCCAGGATCGATCTTGTTAGCAAAAATTTGCATATGACAATCAAAATATAAAACAAACAGCACAAATAATAATCTAGAAAAATTCAGTTACATTACTAACAATGAATCACGTATTTTCATACAGAAGGAAACAAACTTCATAACTAACTTATTTACATGATGGTAGTAGTAGTAGTAGTAGTAGTGGTGGTGGTGGTGGTGGTGGTGGTGGTGGTGGTGGTGGTGGTGGTGGTGGTGGTGGTGGTGGTGGTGGTGGTGGTAGTAGTAGTAGTAGTAGTAGTAGTAGTAGTAGTAGTAGTAGTAGTGGTGGTGGTGGTGGTGGTGGTGGTGGTGGAGGTGGTGGTAATAACTTGTTTATTTGCATGACCGCATCATTATACAGTATTGCAAAAGCATACCTATTACACTCAAAATACAAACAACACTAATAATAAACTAAAAAAAATATGTACATTACTAACAGTGGATCACGTTCATACAGAAGGAAATAAACTTCATAACTAACTTTTTTACATGATATTCCTTCGAATTCATTATCAGTTTTACGCTTTCTGGAGATGATTTCTTGTCGAAGTCAGGTATTATTCGATTAATTTGATTAATGAATGCCTGTCTCTGTACTGAGTATTTATTACATTGAAAGAAGAAATGAATCTCATCTTCTACCTGATTTGAGTTACACAAGCGACATGATCTATGTTCTCTTGGCAAATGATCCATTTGGTATCGACCTTGTTCAATCAGAAGTTTGTGATTACTTATTTTAAACTTTAACAATATGTTGTCGTTCCACATAATGTCTTAGCCGGTAGAGATAATCAAAAGTAGAATATTCATCTTTAAAAGCGTTATAAAATTCTACTTTTTTTGGAATTTAATTTCAAGGCTTATTTACTCTTTTCAAGGTAATGGTTCATTTGTGTGGTATATCGTCTAATTTTATCATTATCTGAAGATTCTGTTTCTAAACTGGTTAAGATTGTATTCAAACATGCATGTTTATGAAATTGGAATAATATCCGGAATTATTCATAGAATGTAGATTCTTTGACATAAGACAAAACTCTTTGACTATAGGCTCATTATCTTTGTTGTTTAGATAAACAAAATATTTCATAATTTTTTTATTTATCGGGATAAGCAGCGGCAGTCTACCAAGTTCAGCTCTGGAAGCTATGTTAAATGCCTTATTGTTAACTGCTAAGTAACGTTTACAGAATTTGAGGTGAATTTTTTCTATTGGGGAACTATCACATTTTTTTGAAATCTTGCTTGGTGTACATTCCCCATACCTCGCTGTTGTAACTCAAGATTGGGAATATCATTGTGTCAAAAATTTGGGATGCGGTATTAGGATTAAGTTTATTAAGAACTGTTCGCGTCTGAATACTAGAAAACGCTTGAAGCCGGGCCTTCTCTTTTAAGTGTTCGAGTGCGAGTGTAAAGTTTCCCGTACGTTGAAGTTAAACGTGTACCTAAATAAGTGTATTCTTGGACAATTTCAATTTACTCACTGCCTATGTTGAATTTGATGTCAATGGATTTCTTTTGGCATTTCTGAAATATTACAATTTTTGTTTTCTTCGGATTAATTTTTAGCTTCCATTTGTCGCAATACAAGGAAAGCGCATTTAAACAGTTCTGTAATCCGGTTTTCGATTTTGAAAGAGTAACTAAATCATCTGCGTACAAAAGTGAATTTATGTTTTTCCCAATAGGAAGAACGAATGGGTCAGATAACGTGTTTTCGAATAAGTGCGGTAGATTGTTTAAATAGAGGTTAAATAAAAGAGGGCTTAAAATACAGCCTTGGCGCTCACCTCTGGAATATGAAAAAGGCTGAGTTTTGTTTTCACCGATTTTGATGGAACATGTCGAGTTGCAATAGAGGCTTTTCATGAGGTTGTACAAATTTCCTCCTATATTCGTTTTTAGCAGCTTATAAAACAGTCTTTCTTGCCAAACAGAGTCAAACGCTTTACGGAAATCTACGAAACAAGCGCAGACTTTTCAGAGTCGGATCCAGGATTTTTTTTAGGAGGGGGTCCACTCGTCTCTTGCTCTACTTCAACACCAATAAACCACATAGTTTTTTTTTTTCAGAATACCAGTTGTATTAGAAAACCGCAGGTCATCGCATGGAAGGGGGGGTGCGCACCCCCTAGATCCGCCCCTGCTTTTTCCTTGTGATGGAATGCACATATTTATCTATTAGGGTCCTTTAAGTGAAAACAGGGTTTGCAGTGCGATTTTCAGGCAAAAAGCCTATTTGGGAATTATGGAATGTCTTATTTTCCTCAAAATACAAGTGACGTCTTTAAAATAGAGCAGAACAGTTTTCCAAGGCAACTAGAAACACATATGCCCCCGTAATTTGTTGGGTCACTCTTGTCACCAGACTTGTAAATTGGGGTTATAAGGCCTTGACACCAAACATCTGACATTTTTCCGGATTGTAAAATGAGGTTAAAAAGTTTGACATAGACAGGCATAAGTGGTTCAAGGCTTGCTTTGATCATTTCCTTTCGTATTTTGTCAACGAATGGTGATTTCTTATTTTTCAATTTCTTCGCCGCTTGACGTATTTCCCTCTCAGTCATCTCATAATCGAGATGAGTAAACTGTTCCTTTTCGTGTTCTAAAGAATTTAGTTCCCCACGGATTTCATGTTCATGCGTGGAATTCATCGGGTCAATAGAATGCAGAGATTTGAAATGGTGAAGCCATGATTCTTCAGAGATTGGGGCAGGAACATTTTCGTTGAGAGTGTCGCTCATCTAATTTAAACAATTCCAAAATGACGCCTTGTCAGGATTTAAAGCTAGTTCGTCGAGTTGCAATGTATTTTCTTTGTGAAATCCTCTCTTCTTGCTTTCTAGGAACTTTTTGTAATCATTCAAGGTTTTGTGATATCCCAGTTTCCGCAATTCGGAGTTGAGGGGGTCACGGTGCTTTTCATTTGAGAGTTTTCGTAATTCATGCCCTTTCAAGCGACATTCACAGTCGAACCATTTCTTGTTGGATGTTTTCTTAATACGCTTATAAGTTTTCTTAGCTTTAATTTTTAGGCGTAGCTTGGAGGTCTCAGATAGAATTTTCATAACGTTTTCTAAGGAGATATTCACATCTTCGGTGCTTCTAGCCATATATACTGTCTAATTAGAATTTGGATTGGTTCCGTGCGTAGTGCGTTTTTAAATTTTAAATGTGAGTCAGTTCCCCAGCAAAATTGCCGTGGTAATTTTGATAATCTATTGCTACCATTTGGATTGTGCATTTCGCCTCCAATTAGCCTAGCTGGTGTTAAGATTGAGCCATGGCACGAGGGCACTATGATCCGATAAATACGATGGCTGTTTAACAACAAAATTTGCAACGTTAAGAAATGTGCACTGATCACATATTAGATAATCAATTACCCTCGTCCCGTTTTTCCATGAAAAGTGGGTCTGCCTAGGGTATCTCCATAAGTAGTAGTAGTAGTAACAATAATGATAATGGTGATAACAATGACGATTGACGATGATGATATACTTCATTGAAAATATTTCGCCGTTTCTGATTGCCTACAACACTACGTCTACTTCTTAATAATCAACTAGCGCTTACCATAATTATTTGGAAGATGTGGGTAACATACCATCGATTGAATTGTATATTTGACTGGAAACGAGGCTGCTTGGGCAATAGTGAACAAAAAAATGTAACTGAAATAGCTGATTTTTTTACTACAACTGAACGAAAGAAATGCAAGAATATGCAAAACATATTGCTCGACGGATGTTGTCTACTCTTTGAGGAGTATCTGCGAGACAAAAGATCTGTTTATATCCTGAAACCGAATCGTGCCGAGAAATAGACCAAAGTTTTGAAAAAGGTCTACGAGGAGGTAAGCATGTCAAGAACTTAGAAATATTTTGAATGAATATTCAAACAATTATTGAATTTGTATGACGTGAAAAATTATGCTGATCTTGGAGGCTATTTACTAACATAAACGATTGATCATCTGTGACAAAAGAACGGATCGAAACGCACGATGACAATTAATTTAAGAGTCTTCATAGTCAATAACACCACGGGTTAATTGACAGACGTCCAATAACATCGCGAGTTAATTTACCAATCAGGTCGATAAAAAGAGTTTAATATCATCAACTGACGTGCCGTACAGCTCAATTTGACTCTGAAGATGACTAGAACTGAACAGGTTGTCAAAACGACAGTCACTGCCAACAACAGTCTTGTTCGGGATCCACCTACTTATTGAATTATTGTTTTACTGACTACATGCACCCACTTTTAGTTTCTTAGTACTTGAAAATAAATGAGCTCACCGGGCGTAGCAAAATTGATGAATCTCCTTTTCGATGATGGAAGGCTGTCAGCAAAGCGTGGTAAGACCTGTTGAACAATTTAATCATGTTTTAAAAAAATCAATGAAAATCCTAAGCCTTCCCATCTAAGCAGTTATCAACACGCTGCACTTATAACTTAAATCTCTTACGTCAATTTTGTAAGTTGTTCCAGGTCGTAGATTCTTTATTAACAAGCTAGGATCCGCCTGCAATATAATAGTCGGCGTTAAAGGGGTATTCTGGTTATTTTTTGGTGGTAAGGGGCGGGGGGGATGAAGATTATTTGAGAAGGAAATAAATTAGGGTAACTGAAAAAGGTATATGATGCAAGTAATTTTTTATTTCAGTTAATTTCTGTTTTTTCTTTGTTTCAACATATTCACATAAACATATTCACATAAACCAGTTGGTGCTGGACTATCTGGGTTTATTGTTCACTTCATATTTCAATTTTTAACAACCCCTAAAATCTATTTGTTTTTGTAATTTTCTAAGAGTTTAAGCATCTTAACCCCCCCCCCCCCCCCACTTGTTCTCTTTCGATCTTTTTTTTTTTTAACATATTCACATAAACATATTCAAATAAACCAGTTGGTGCTTGACTATTTGGGTTTATTTTTCACTTCATATTTCAATTTTTAACAACCCCTAAAATCTATTTGTTTTTTTAATTTTCTAAGAGTTTAAGCATCTTAACCCCCCCCCCCCCCAATTTCTATATATAAAAAAATATTAGAAGAATGATCTTAAAAAAAAATCTCAAAAAAATCATTGAACCAAGGTCTACAACTTAATGGAGTGGTTTCTTAATTGCATGAAATATTAGCTGGATGTTAGAAAAAGGGCGGAAATAAAATGAAAAACAATGCTTTTAACTAGAATGTCCCGTTAAATGATTTATCTGTCAACATAATTTGCAATCAATCAAATACATAATTTGAAACTCTCTGACTCAAATATCAAGAGAACACATGAATCATTAGCTCTTCCTTTTTTGTGCATCTGGCTAACCTTTTTGTAATACGGCAGCTCCCCCATACATACAGTTGAACCTCTCCACAACGGCCAACTTGGGGACAGAAGAAAGTGACCATTGTAGAGAGGTTTAAACAAGAGTCAATGTATGGACTGTCCGCCAAAAAAGTGGCCGTTGCGGGGAGAAGTGGCTGACTGTATACAGGTCTTTTTTCGGGAACGTTGTGTTTCTTAGATTCTTGATGAAAAAAGTATTCGGAAATTTGAAGATGAACATTTAATAATAATGCAACAGTATACTTACTTACTACTTAAAATATGGAATAGATAGATAATAATTTTCTGCAGAATTTTGCTTTATGTGAATGGACATGATTTCTCTAACTCAAATGACCACCTTTTTTGCACTTATCTTGGGGGAGTTAATTTGCACCATGCAAGATCGTTTAATTACAGTGTGCACTGCCAAAGTGAAGACATAGTGGTTATGAGTTGACAAAATCAAATCATCACCGGTTGCAGTGATCAATTTGTCAACGCTTACCAGACGGTGGAAACTTATAGATTTGCTTCCTTTCCAATTCCAAACAAGGTACTCTGTCACGTTCTTGTAAGGGTATACTGGTGGATCCCAGGCGATATTCACTTGGAATCTATAATCATCTTGGGTTGTTAACCGAGAGGGTCTGATATTGTGCACTACCCTGTCTTCTATGGGTGCTTCTGGTGGATCAACTAAACATATAACATAATGACCAGGAATTACTTGACGTATTTCATCAAAAGAAACGGATGATTAAATTATTATATAACAATAATGTTTTCACGTTACTGTTATGCTAATTATCTAATGTATCAGGTCAGTAAGGGAGATTACCACATGGGAGATATACTAAAACAGAAACCCATAACCTAATAGGCTCCTAACTGAAAGTTGAATACTAGCCCTTTAATTTGTCAGAGCATGACGTAGTGGTAGCGCTCAAAATATGAGCGTCTCTACATATATCTTCCTACGGTGTTCAATCTATCTTATTAACCTAAATCTAATTGTAATCGTCCGACACGAGGTTCGCTTAATCCTCTTGCTTCAATAGCGCTAGCCACGCACCAGTTTATTCACGGCATTTTTGCCGTAAACAGATACCCCTCCACATCCAAAGGACTACTTTTAATCATATTTGCATTGGAAAAGGCGCGTTATATCATTATTAGTATTATTATTATTATTAAGAGTCAGAGCTTTTTTAAAAACGATTTTCTTCATTAAGCTTAGTTTTTTTATAGTTGTAGTGTGAACGCAATGCCAAAAAGGATATCAGAACTTTATACCAGTATATAATTAAATGAAAAGTCAAGAGTAAATGTACGGAACTACGGACGGACTCACTGTGAGATAAATCATAGTTGCTCGACCCTCGCAATGAAGGACTACTATACTCTTGCTGCTTGAAAAAAGGTCATATTTTCTCGACTTCACAAACAAGCGTCATTCCAGGTATGTCAGCTAAAAATCATAATCTACGTTAAATCTACATGCTAATGACTGCCTATAAAACAATGGTAAACTATTGTAAAACTTACATTCGTAGCATTCACTTTTGGGAAAATTTGTTATATTTTGACAGCCTGTAAAAAGATGAACAAAGGTATAAAACTTTAGTCTACAACGATTTATCCTTACCCTCCCACCATTTTATCAGCTGTAGGTTTCATCGTTGGGTAAGAATAGGAGCACACTTTGACTACTAAAATATGACACAGGTATTGAGTGTACAGTAAAGTCATTGAAACGATTCCGTTTTAGTTTTTTAAAGGACTGTCGGTTATTTACTTAGGACTTTTCAAACAGGTTTATTTTTCACCTTTATAAAAATGCATAAAAGCTCAAAAAATCGTATGCTTTAATTTCATTTCAACGTTTTTCATGTGCATGGTCATCACCAACGCCCTAACAATTTACCTGGATAGGTGTATATTAATGTTGCCTTATCACTCGCACTACAGCCAATCATCGAACGAACCTAAAAAAGCAAATGTATGTTAAACTCATCATTTTTAAGTATTTTTTTTCGCGTCGGCGAATTTAGCCCATTAAAGGAGTGGTGTCACAAAATTTATCAAAATTCAAACAGTGTAGTGGGAAGTGTCACCAAATTGAGTGGAACTCTAAATTAACTGCTCAAAAGGTTAAAAGAGAAGGTATAATTAACACAGCAAATACAAAACGAGACGCGGATGAACAATCTCGAAGCGATGAGATTTAAACGGATGCCAATTTTGTTTTTTTTTAATTAGTCAGCCTAACAGTTTCTAAAACTTTATTTTTGTTGCTTTTAACATTTGATATTACACATTTGTCTGACACGAAGCTGTCATTAGGTATTTACAAGTAGTTTCTGAACCTTTTACAGAAATTCAGCTCAAGGAGTACGAAGAAGAATCTCTCTAAGTTAATGCTAGATGGCTCCCATAAATAGCGATGTTTAAAAAGAAAGATGTGTTCACATGGAGGCCATGATATTTGTTACGTAGATATATAAAGCCGACTAGTGTTTCTGCATTGCTGTGCGATCCACGCACGCTCCACGCGCGATGCGAATTTCGGCAACATTATAAACCTTCGTTACGCAAGGAAGTTAACATCTATTTACTCACCTCAACAAGATGGTGATTACATCTTTTCGCTTTAGAGTACACATTTCTTGAAAAATTATTATCCGGCTGCAAACACGGAGAAATGAGTTATCTTTCTGACATTTGGGGGTGTAAATGTGCCCCGCATCTGAGCAACTCCTTATTAAAGCAAGGGAATGGCGGACGTACTTTTCAAAGCTTTTTTCTTTTTCATTTTACGTAAACAATTAGTATTTATTCTATGCTAGATACGGACATTCTTCGTTTTTTACTAGTCGTAAACATGCCCGACAAGAAATCCAAGTTACACTAATAATTAATTAACTAATTTTTATCTATCTTAGCGTGAAGGATTACTTTTTATTAAAAAAAAAATGATAATATTCTATTATTTTGTGTGTAATTGTATTTTGGGGGTCATCCACTAGATTAGCCTTTGCGTTTTGGATGATCCCAACTCGCTCCTTATCTAGTCACTACAATTTTTAATCTTTACTTACGTAATTGTATTTATTGGTTTGGAATCTTTTTCTTCATCTATCTGAATCACATTTAAATGGAGCTGAGTGAAAAAATCTTCTTGGTCGTCTTGTCTTGCTATAATTATCATTTGTTTACATAGTGTATGACTCTGTGGTAACAATTTAGATCTTAGAGAGGTTTTCATGAAGAGTTAATTAACCTTCAACACTACATTTTCCTCCCCAAATGGAGTCGAAGTCATTTTGGAAGGTAAAGGGGGCATTGTGGAGAAAAATAAGTCAAATGCGGGGGCAAAACCTTTTACAGGTAATTTATATCATTTGTGGAAATGGAGCAACGTCAAGGTTTGTATGAACCTTCAAACTTCACGTTTTCAACACGCTTGACCAATGCTAAAAATTTGAAAGAGAGAGAAACGAAAAACAACTATAACTTAATTTTGAGTACACATACTGCCGTATCAATCTATTGAAAAAATATAAATCTATAATTTTCAAAATTCAAAACGTTTCAACTTAAGAAAAATAATGAGGTGATGGGAATTACTTACCCCAGAAGTTTCCCAATTTTCTCTTAAGAAGGATTCTCTACTGTTACACTTGCGAGGATCCAGTTCCCACATCATGGCATAATTTGTAATGAGATGCTTATTATCTATAACACATTATTTTGACGGATTGATTCTATTAATTGACACCTTTTTCGTACTTAGCTAGCTATCACACTTATTAAGTCCCGCTCAGTTTTAGAACTATCATAGGAAAAAAAACTTAAAAGAAATAGAATATTTTCATTTTTAAGCGCTGATTATTATTATTAAAACTAGTCCTTATTTAGTACTTAGTTAGTTCTTATTGATATGGGTATTAGAATGTTATTTATCTTTCCATTTTAACCGATGTTAAAGGACAGAAAAACAGGCTAGTAGATAAATAAATTAAACCCCGTAAATGTGAAGCTTGGGTATCTAAGCTTCCTTGCGCTAGATATAATTTCTCTCTCTCTTTTAGCTCGATATACCGAACCCGCAGCACAAAAAAATGAGCGGGTTATTCAAGAATTAACTTGATGAGTAAAACGTCATGTTACGGGCCAGGTATTTGTGGGAGCACAATTTCATTCGCTTGCTTAACGTTTCAAGTGATAAGCACCCCCTTTCGATGGATGTGTCTTATTTTCTTATTTTGCGTCGATATTCATTCGAATTCCACCAAAATCTAAATTAAAAAACAAACTGGATTTAATCAAATAGTCAAATAGATAAATATTATTAGTAAAATCCAACTAGTGGTCTCTTATCAATTTTGCGTTTTGACTGGTTGAGCTACTACTAGGCTATATGTTATAGCCTACTAGTAGCGAAAAGCGCGCGCTTTTTGGCGGCAAAAAAGGATTACTAACATTTTTTTATTCTCGATATTTTTGACCAACTAGTTGGATTTTACTAAAACAATTATTCCTCGAGCCCGAATGGACTTGAGTCAATAGCCCATTCGGCCTTCGGCCTCGTGGGCTATTGACTCAGAGCCCATTCGGGCTCGAGGAATAATTGTTAAATAGATTGCGTTTATTTGACGTAAAACGCGGTGATGTAGATCAAGGTAAATTAGACAAATCAAATAGATGAGCATCAACCACATAAACTGCACGACAGTCAAACAGTCGTTCGCCATAAGCGACAGAAATGCCCTTGCTCATCATCAGCGTCTCTACTGCTCAGAGCATCAGATTAGAGTGCGGGGGGTTCTGAGTTCGAATTCAGAATAATGTTTTTTGGGGGGTTCTGCCTGGTGTTTGATTCTCATCTACGTGATATTTTAGTCTTAATAACATAAAACACTAAAAAGAAAATCCTTTTCTTGATTTTTAATTGAAGCGAAAAAAAAAATGGTACAAGTCTACACGTTGCGATGAAGAATCTCGCGAGGGGAAAAAAAGTGTTCTTATACCAGTCAACAAGTTGTTGTTCTTAGCCTACTCAACAAGTTTTATAGGAAGGAGGCTCCGCCCCAGGGTCCAAACCCTCACCCTTTTATAATATAATGTTTGACAGAAAGGATACCCCTTTTGTATACCTTCCATTGGAAAATAGTACCTCTTTAACATACCTAATTAACAGAATAAATCGCTACAAAGGGAAGTTTTCTTTTCATTTTCCTGTAACTTTTAATAAACCAAAATCCCACGATGGGCTCTTAGGCGCGTCTTATCCCGAACCCTGGAAAAGGCACACTTTTCGGATAGAGCCTCCCCATATAGGCTATTATAGGGAGTACCCCCTGTTTTTTTAACGACACACATTCTATTTTTTATTACCCACCGCTTGGGGGAATCCATGATACAGTTAATATGATTCTATCAAGTTTATTTTCAGTGGCAGGATCATACGCTAGACTGTCCAAAGTCACATTTGTGACAGGTGCTGGCTTGACAAGAGCTGTAATACAATTGAGGGGTCAGTCGCTTACAAGGATACAGCCTATATTGAACCAATAAAGATACCTAACTCTCGCCGCAACCGAGAATTTACAGAAATTTGACCACACGGATGGCAAAACGTTATTTTGGGGATCTGACAAGCCTGACATGTAAAACAAAGGAAAGGAAACAGAAAGAGGGACGATCCACTAAAAGAAGAGGATAGGACAAAAATCAAAATAGTTGTCATGCTCCTAGTTTTTCATGGCTGCTATAATCTTAGTTAATAAAAAAATGTTCCATGGTTCTCCAAGATGCTAGATGATTTTCAATAATGTCAGCTGGTGTGTGGCCTGATCTTTAAAAAATGATCCAAAACCGATGGCGCTTTTCAAACAATTGGCAATTATTCTTTGGAAACATCTCGGACGTACAAGGGGGGGTGGATGTCAAGCCCTCTCTAAGGCTTTTCTCAGTCTTTTCCTAGACGATTAAACATAAGCTCCTGAAGTTTCAGTAGCTGTTTGTTTATCCCTCACGAGCATTTAATTTTGAGACAAGTTTAGTGATGGTCAGTTACCATGATGGTTACGAGTTATGACGTCATAAGCAGCAGGTAATCAAGCCTTTTTTTAGTGAGAAAGCATATTTTTTTAGCTTCTTTCAACTACAAAAATAAATCTTGTGGATAAAATGAAGCGAATTACTTATTTATATGTTATTCTACATGTCAAGCACAAAAAATGACCAATTTTCGCCGTTTTTACCGGATTTCTAATTCTAATGACGGCCAAGATGACGACCAAAAAAGTGGTGACGTCACAGGCCTCCAGCAGCGCCACCACCGATAAAGTATACCTCGTCTTGTAGGGACGGTCAAAGGCTTTCCACTTTTTCCACTAAAGGTAAAATATTTCGAAATACTGCAACATATCATTAGGTATGACTTTCCGTGTACGTCCAAGAGTTAAAACAAAGCTAGCGAACATTAAGACTGAAATAAAGTAAAAACGAAAGTTTTGCGGTGCCGCACTAAGTGCACACTCACTAAAGCAGGAAAATTAAGGACGAGAAAAATTAAGGTAGAAAAAATAGAGAGAGAGCGGAGAAGGGAAGGGGGCAGGAGAAGAGAAGAAAAACGATGGTCACACGCAGCTTAGTTTTTATATTGCCTATAGTTTTGGGACGAACAAAAACGGACGGACAAAGGCTGTTTTAGCGTCACATTTTCATAAATCCAATATTAAAACAAACCACTTTCCTAAACGATACATTTAGGGAAAGAAAATCTCCCACGAAGAGGAGATGAATAGTTAATTCATTTTCTTTTTCAGCATTACATGTCCTTTGTTCCCTTCCAAAAAAAAAAATTTAAGATACCCAAAATTAAGATAATCTTTGAGGAGGAGAGAGGGAGTTAGGGAACACGATATGGATTTATTTACGTCGGAATTAATTTCTAAACTCTGATTTTCGGACTGACGGTGCAGGTTTACAAACAATATGATTCGACAAAGTAACAAGACTGTGTAATTTCTTTAAATGACAACTGATCATGTACCAGGGGAATCAAGATCTATTTTAGCAACTCCATAAAATACTATTCAGCTTTTAATGTTACTTACTCGTTTCCACCGTTTGTTGCCCAACGCTTAAAGATGAGTTCTCGGTAAGGACAGCCACTCTAAACTTGAATAATACTGGACTGTAGACTGAACGAAATGGAGCTGACCTGACGTAAGCGCAAAGACTTGGGAATGATATTGTAGCCTCTGGTATAACAAACACCTAGGAAACGCCATAAATTAGGTGGGCTAATAGAAACGTCTAAGAAATGTCTACAAGCGAGAGATGGATCGAGAGCAAGCGTTGCAAAAACGATAGACTATATTCAATCTACCTCCGGCAAATAGACAGGCCAAAAAGAGTTTCCTCCACTATCCGAATACTCCATGTCAATCATGTAAACAGGGCTACCAGTCGTATTTTGCACAGCCTCCCACTTCAAGCTGATGGAGGTTAAACTCCGGTTTGTTATTGAAGGTGTTCCTGGGGTTGGGGTAGAGGAATTATCTCCATTTGTTACTAAAGCGAAGTTTTTAACCTTGGTTAAAAACTCACAGCTCTCAAGACAGCTGCTTGACGCTCTCTGAAATACAAAACAAATTCAATTAGAAAACGGCGAATTGAAATTCGTGTGAAATGACAAATGACCTGAACATTTACAGTAAACTGGCACAGGTGTGGTGCACACGAACGCCAGGAATTTCCAAAGGTGTAGACACTTACGCATGTTTGTTTACATGCTGCCTCATCAGAATCAGATAATCCACATGGACCTAAGCACTAAAATTAAAGAAAGAGTACAAATATCAAGGATAGAAAATGAATATTTAACAATTAATGAATGAGGCTGAGTATCTCAGAATAATTATGGAGATCGAGGAGAGTGTTATCCGTTGAAGCCGTAGGCCGAGGCGGATAACACCCTCCGAGATCTCCATAATTCTTCACATGAAACGAAAGCCGAATTCAATAATTGTTTTATTATTCATTCAAAATAATTCCTAGTTTAAAAACATAGCTAAAACATATTAACCTCCATCGATCCATCGATGTTAAGTTCATCTTCGATAGTGAACGTTTGGGGTTGTTCAGCTCCGCAAACATTCTCCAAATAGAAGATGTCGCCCTTCGAGTTGTCTTCTTCCGCGCTGTTCTTACCATGTTTTTAGCTATTTTTTTTGCCTAGTTCTTACTCTTGAAGCGAGTGAAATGTCCGCCATTTTTCAAGTTCACAACCAAAACAACTCAATCTTGTCCCCAGGTCGTTTCGGTTAACGGTGCATTAACCTGCAAGAAAGCTGCACTTTTGACGTTATCGGTTCATCAAACGCAAATTCTTCCAAATTTGATCATCAGTAGCTGGTTATGCTGAATTATGCGTGTGCTTTTAGCCAAGAGAGAATGATCTCATTCTCTCTTGTTTTAGCCAATCAGAATAGGGGAAATATTTTGAATGAATAATAATTTTAAATAGTGGTTTCACCTATTATAAGTGTTTTTCGATGTTTTGTACTCTCCTTAACCCCATGAGATTGAATTGTGTTATTATTTTAAACTTCACTGAATGAAAATAATGCTACTTACTTCTTTACAGTCATTTGTTTGACAGGGAATTTCAGTTTCATTGCTCGCTGGATTCTAAAACAAATTAAAGAGGAATGGGTTATAACACAAAGCTTAACAAACTTTAACCAGGGACTATTTTAGTTTTCTTATCGCTTAGGATTCATTACCTTTAATCATGAAAATCACGCCAAACATATATCGTAATTTTGTTTTTAACGTTTATAATAAGTACTGGCGAATATAGGACTAGCTATCTATGAGACAAAGTTAGCATAATGGTTGACAGTCTTAGTCCGTCGCCCACGAAATGATCAAAAGTCGAAAGTCCCGTGTGCGACCACATCTTGTAAGCGAGCACCTATCCCAAACACCAAAACTTTCCCAGCCGACGTCCTATAGTTAGAACCTCTAGTAAGCGACCACCTATCAAAAACACGAAGTTTTTCCTGTCTACAATCCTTATAGTCAGCACATTGCCTAAGCGACCATCTGTTGTATGCGACTTTGGCCACTTTTTGGGCTGAAGGTTGTTTTATATGTTTCCCGGAGCGACCGCTTGCCTCTGTATACTATTAGTTCACTCACTCAGAGTATGTGAAAAACCTTGAGTGAAAACGTGAAACTAAATATCGCAACTTAGAAGTTGCATGCAATTGATTCTCTTCGATCCTAAAAGAAGGTGTATATTGGGGATATTCTCTTTGGAAGGGAACCCCTGTGGCCCGTCAACTCTCGTAAGTGATCACTTCCCGTAAGAAACCACTGACTCTTCGCATCTTGGGTACTAGTCGCTCACGGGGGGATCAAGGGAATTTTCTTTTGATTCCTTAAGCTACTTTAGAGTGATATGAGTCATTTAGAATTCGCTTATTCCTTCATTCTTTCAAGGCTATTGAGAATATAAGATTTGAAATTTATATGCGTCCTTTTGGATACACTAACAGTTTTTGTTTTTTCTCACGGAGTTTATTTGCCAAATACAACTAGATACTTGAGTTCCCGATGTTAAATTTTTCACCCAAAACTGGTTTCAAGGCTTTTTTGCTTATCGTTTTCATGGTAATATCAATTATCGATTTTAACAAAATTTAATCCAAATTCAGTTAGTGGTAAGGATTTTATAACGATCTTACGAGGATATAAAATCACTTTTACGTCGACTGAAAAATATTGGTATGGGGTCTGAAAAACTGTATCGAGACACCCTAATTTAACCTCGAGAATTGCCTCTTCAGGGTATATTATGTACATATGCGATATTTTGTCTTTCGTATCACACGCCATATAGAACTGTATGGAAACTGACTGATAACCAAATTTTAAAATCATTCCGTCATTCTCCATTTTGCGAATAAAGAACTGGTGTTAGTTTCAGTAATTAGGAGAGAGAAAAGGCTAAACTTGAAAGGTTCATTCTCGCTTTAGGCTCAAACCTCAAGAATAACCATATCATAAACTAACTTTTCAGACCAAAATTAGACCGGCTTAAAACAACAACAACAAAATGCCAAATTGAAAAGAAAAATTGTTTTTTTAAATTCAGTTTTGATTGCCTTCTTTTGTGATTTTTTATTATTCTTTGTTCGATAAAAATTCAATTTGCTTAAGATATATTTTGACGATTAAAAACTACCAGACCCTTATTGGACGAATATTTCATATCTTAACATGTTTTGAGTCATATCTTGGCTGATATCGTTCCGCAATTCCCTTTGAACTTCTGAGTATAATTAATTATACACTGTCACAGTAATATGTTAATGAGGGCAAAGTGCTAAGCAGTCAGTCAGCAGTGTTTTGATAAACGCAAGGAAATTTCAAGTTTTATTTACAATTTAAGACCGGCAGTTGAAAAGAGAAACCGTTTCCGCTAAAAAAGACCTTGTACAATATGAGCTAATATATTAATGTCCAGTAGGAAATAGCAATAATTTAGCAATATGAAATTGTTGCCAACTTATAACTGTTATTTTGTGATTAGAACTGCAATGTTATAAATAGGTCATAATCTCCTTTGTTCCTGATTCATAAAAAACACGTTTAAATCACTACTTGAAGCAGAGCTATGGAATAAATATAAAGGTGCTAACGAGAGTTTTCTTTGTTTTGGGAAGTCGTAATTATTTTGCATCCGGTTGTCTTCGCGATCGTCAGTCTTCTTGCATGTTCCTTCGAATCAGGCCCTACAGCGTGATTTGTTACATTCCATAATTGTTTTATTTTACCAAGCGATAAATCAACCATATTCTCTGACTTCCATCAAACGCTTCGATGCAAAGGTCATTAGAGAAAGGGACAAGACTATGCACATAAGCAATAATTTTAAATTGGAATGAAAAAACGTGTCCAATTTGAAATCGGCTGGAATTGTTTGATATTGGGCAATCAATTAGATAATTTGTGCGTTTCAACTTACTCAAGATGGCGATTATTTCTTTCAAAATCAACTATTGAAGTAAAAATAATATTCATGGCATCGTCTTTAAGACAGTAGATTTGTTTGAAACTACAAGAAACTGATAAGGGACACTGTTCAACTTCAAAGACAGCATTGCGCCGATCCCTTTAAAACGGCCGCCTTCCCAGAAAGAATATTGAAAGGTGACTCACCTTCGTCAAGCAGTTTGCATAGCATCTAGCTTTGGTAACAATCCTTGGGTTTCTACTGACCGAGTGACTACATCCAGTAAAAATCCAGAGAAAGAACAAAAACTTGTAGGAATATTGAATGTAGAGCCAGCGAGGCTGCGTTGCAAGACACATGCTAACATAATCCACACAGTTCAAATATTGTTGATCAGTCAGTCCTGTTCAGAACGAAAGACAGGGATGCATGAATATTAGCACTTAATATGTTGACAAATTGACGTTTGCGGCTGGCAGTGGGTTAAGATTTTGAGTGGAGATACTAGAAGATACTGGGGCATTACATTTTTGTCTATTATGCTTATTTTTTCTCCTGAGGACATGGTATCAATGCAAAGGGACATAAGAAACATTTCATGACTAAACTATCGCTCGACATGCTTCCCCGTGATCATATGTCGACGTTAAAACTCAGAATTTCAAGATCGATGTGCAAGATCTGCCGATGTGGGACTGATTATGGAAACGACTTATGTCATAAATAGGCTTGGATTGTTTATCTAGTAAATTTGCTTTGGAATAGTTTTGATATCCTTTTTCCTTGTTCCCCGTGGGAAACTACTTCCCGGAAGATGAAAGCAGCTGTCAATAACTTTCGCCGCCGATTTGTCCTTAGTTTATCTCAATAAAGGTTTTATCGGGTAACCACAAAATGGGAAAAACAAAATTATATGAAAGATGTTTATTTTGGGTCGCTAACTGGGTATATTACGTTTGCTTTTGTTGTGAAGGTGTAGTAAGGGATGATAACCATTGCTTTTTTCAAAGAGGTTCAGATAAACTTACAGGCAGATGTAAAGAATGTTTCAAATCGTAGAATTATAATTGTGCATTTTTCCATCATGATAAAGACTATAAATAGACAACACGGTGTCAAGATTAGCAAAAGGTAAATTCTGGGTACAATTTGCTTCTGCAATCAGCTTTGACTTTCATTTTTTTAGCTTAGTTAAGGCGTAATAAACAACACCCCAATAATGACACAACAAAACAGTAGAAACACAAAATTACCAAATTGCTCGCTTTATCTTCCCTTGTTATTCTTGGCGACAAAACATGAGCCAGCTTTAGGGCAATTAAACTTATCAATACCCCAAACTGACAGACAACTGGGTTTTATTTACCAAATTTGAACAGGACAAAGGAAATATAATTACGCTAGTTATATTAGTCTTGCGGAAAAAAAAAGAGTATTTATTTAACAAAGATATGCCATGCGTTGCCACTCTATTGCGTTTTAGTAATTTTGGGCCATCACTCAGTCAAGTGATAAATTACCTAAAAGGTTGCACAGAAATGATTCATGCTGGATGGCGAAAGAGATATCTTCTTTGGAGACTTTGGAATTAGAACGTTTCGTGTTTCGTGTGTTGATTGAAAGGAACACTTCTCCATACAAGAGTTTTCTGAATCAATTTGATATTGGTTTTAATATTTTGTCCACTGAGTCATGCATTCATTTTGAGTCCAATTGAGCAACAGACTTGTAATATTTGGCGACTCGGTGTTCACGGCCTAAATAATTAAATAATGAATGGTGACAAAAAGTAATAACGGAGTGAGAAAAACAATTTTACCGGCTGATTTTTTCGCTTGAAGACGTAACGTACAACTGCACTTCCCCGTAAGCTAGCTCGTATTATGACCCAGCGATTCAACCTTTATAAAGTGTTCATGCCGAATTTATTCCTTGAACGAGCACTACCATAACTGGGTTATCGCCGGCTCTCTCATAATGAATCCAGCTGCCCATGAACGCAATAACATGCTTATTGGTATAGGCACTGGGCCCTGTTTATTCAAAAGAGTTCGATTTGATAGTTTTGAGTTAGATGCATAACATTTACTATTAATGGCAAGGAATGATCTGTTTACTTTCTAGGTCAATGGCGATGTTTAATTAAGGAATCAAAACTATCTGGTACCGTTAGTAAATGTGCGCTGAAAAGGTTTTGTAACAACTGATATTTATGGTAAATCAGTCAGTATCAGGTTATAAAACTTGGCATCCAAAATTTCATTACTTTCACCGAAATGTGACGATAAGTTGGCGTTTGCATTTGTCTCACGTAATTGGCTACAACATTTTGACGATAAGTGATAGGCAATTGAAACTATGACCTCCAGAGTAAGCGATTTAGAAATACTGCCATAATTTGTGATTATATTGAAGATGAAACAACAACAACATGATATTAATTTGAGGAGGACTCGGAAAAAAAATCCGAGTCCCAGACGGGATTTGAACCCACGACCCTCCGTGATCTAGTCGCATGCTCTAACCACTTGAGCTACTGGAGACTCTATGGTGAGCAAGGGCCAATTTGTGGGTCTCGACTGGAACCGCATCACGCGGCTACACAGCCAAGTAATGATAGGCACACAAGAAGTGAAGAACTCACTAACAGCATCGCGCTGTCACCTTAAAGCATATCAAAGATGCGGCCAACCAACCTCCAAAGTGAGTATATTGAAGATGAAACAACAACAACATGATATTAATTTGAGGAGGACTCGGAAAAAAAATCCGAGTCCCAGATGGGATTTGAACCCACGACCCTCCGTGATCTAGTCGGATGCTCTAATTTGTGATTGGAAGTAAATTTAGTTTATCTTTTTTTTTATTCTTTATACAATTCAAGCCAAACACAACCGTCAAAAAATAGTTATGTCTCGCCGACATCTGTTCAGTACTTTGCGGTTTAAGGATCAGTTTTAGATGACTGTACTCGGAAGCTATTAATACGTGTTTTCATTAACCGTAATGGTGTAACGCTATGTGCAAGGCTTGCGGAGCCTTTTTGGACAATTTCTTTCTTTGTCTGTTTGGACTTTCAAAAAGACTGCGAAGTTTTATTAAGCTCTTTTAGGGGCCTTGGCGCAGTCATGATTAATGTTAATAATCCAGTTTATTTTAGCTACAAATTGACAAGTAAGAGCAATTTTTTAAGTTATTTTTTTTGAAATGTAATATACTGCCTTACAAACTGGATACATTATTTTACTGGGAATCAGCTTCTAGTTTGCTAATGAAAATTTTCCAAATTTCATTAATTGCTCCACTCGTGTTATGAGATATCAATTCACGAGAAATGTAGCCATTATGAGTTTCCTGATGAAAAGAGAGATTTTGTTTCAGGAGGTATACCCTTGAAACATTAAATTACATATTAATCGTATCCGATAAGCGATGAAAATATCATTGATAAATCAGTGTTCATTCCCTATTCATATACTAGTAGGTAAGTACTTTTGCAGTTGTTATCTTTCAAAATGGAAATTTATTAGTCATGGCAATTTAGAGCTGAAGACTTTTGAAGACTTCAGATCATAAAGTTTTAATAAATAAATGTTTCTCATCATGGAGTGGTTAATGAATTCGAGGCAGTCGATCTCCCCATTTATTTTGATGCTATATTTACAAACTAAAATCTAGTTATACTTTTTGATAGGCATATTTTAAAAAAGTTCTGAAGTTAGATATTTCAATCAGATGCTTATAACGGCAAACACGACAAAGGTTTTTTTCCATCTGATTCCGTGTTCCGGATGTTTAAGAGATCGTTCACATGATGAAGCTATATCAAGTAATCTTCAATTCGTCGTGTCTTTTGCTGACATTTTTGACGCAGTTTATTTTAGCATGATACTATTCGCTCTTTTGAGCTCTTATTTTCTCGTTAAAACAAGAGATAGATTCGCAGATTTTAATTTTTCAATTTGTGGAAGCCTGTAAAGTACTTAAACAATAAAAACTAAAATATTTTAAAAATTCATTATGAAATATTATCATGATTTCATGGGAAAAACTAAAGTCTTTCAAATATAATTATTCAGATTGTAATCAATCACTGAATTCACCTTCCCCGTATAGCATCCTGGTCATACCTAAAAATAGTGAATGAAGTGTTTTGAAATAATCTTCCAGATATTTCATTACTAAGGTTTACATAAGGAATATGAAGTTCGGTTACTTCCTTAAAGAGCTTAATTTTTACCTACCTCGTTGTGGCGCGTATGGAGCGACGTTCCAGTTTCAAACATTAGCTTTTTAATAATTATATTTATGCAATTTCAACAACAAATGGCCTAAGCAAAGCTTTAATATAAGCGAAATGATTAAATATTTGTCAATTTCTCCTTTGTTTGCAGGTTGACAATATCACCCGTGGGGCCAGTTGTCATAACAAGTAGCTATTTTACCACAACCGACGTTACTGTAATGCCGCTGTTTTGTCAGACCACACTAACCGCATCAGTCTGGATCCACATTTTAACAACAAACAGCTGGCTTTTTATCATACTAAATTTGTATTTTAACTATCTAAACTTCACGGCAAATTGAAAACGCTTTGTAAGCTATTCAGAGTACTTTTGGATCTCTACTGAAATGCACTCCAAGCGGCGCTATTGCTGGTTTTCAGTGTCACGCCATTCAAGAAAGATCAATATAAAATTCAAAACCGTTCAATAGATAAAGTCCAGAATCTGGGAAATGAAAGGAGGTACATATACAAAGACCCTCGCCAAGATTCAAGTCAGAGGAATATTTGTATACGAGATATCCGAAGAAATGTTTTACCCAAAATTATAGAGATTTGTATGGAGACGCCATGCTGGTGCTCACCTGGGTGAGCTCCAACATGGCGGACGGAAACCAACAGAAAGTGTGAATTCATTCTTCGAGAGACTCATAAACATTAAAGTAATAATTTTTTAATACATGAACTGTTTAGATAGCAAACGTTCCTTAAATAAGCCATTTTTTAACCTACATGACAGCTTTCTTGGCCGTCATATAAATGCCGCGCCACGCAAAAGCTTAGAAATTCAAGCGTACTCTATCACAAAACTAAGAACCCTTTTTAAACGAAAATTTTGTATGAAAATTAGTTTTCAGCTGCTCTAATGCATCGTGAAAGTAAAATCTCGGTTTTATCGATAGTTTTTTATTTTGAATTTTAGTGACGTCATTTGAAAACCTACAATAAAATTTGTATCTGTTCGGTCATCCAGGGTAACTCACGCCGTCAGAGCCTTATTGAATTATATTTAGAAGGGCTTCAGAATTATTTCCCCGCAGATTTGGACTGAATTAAGCAATTTAAAGCTTAACG